CGGACGGAAACTCCTCACTGGAGCAGAGTCGGTGTTCACTTCTGTTCCTCACACTTCAATGAACTCTTTCTCACTCCACAAACACTCAGAATGTCTGTTTCTGTTTATTTAGACAAACAGACACAATTATTTTTAACTTTATCTTGAAGATAAAGCTGAGCATAAATCAGGTTTAAGCTTTTGCTCTGTCGGAAAACTGGACTTTTCTTACCTTTGCAGAGCACAAGGAGCCCCAGCAGAGCCAGGAGCTTGCGGGACAGCATCCTTCCCACGACCACAGTGACGCAGAGACAACGATCAAGCCGAGGAGACTCGCTGTGAGGAAGGTAGGAGATCTAAATGCAGTGTGAGGACAACTGAAAGGAGGAGGGACTGCTGAGAGAGAGAATAGGGGAGGGAGGGAGGAGAGAGGAAAGGAGGTGGAACTGAGCAAAGAAACTTTTTGAGCTCTTCTTTTTTTTGCTAAATTTGGTCTGAATATGAAGTAGAAACATTTTCTTCTGCAAATATGATATAAAGTTGAGTTTAAAGATGGCCTGTTATGTTTTTCCTTATTTAATTTACACAAATAATCCCCAGTCTAAATGTACTGCTTCGCACAGAGGGGACAGCCTTAGGCACAGAAGCCCCACCCATCTGATGCTTGAACCTTCTGATTAAAAGGGGCTTCCAATCACAGTGAGGGACGGGATAAATTCCTTGTTTCAGACAGACACAGGATGAATTGAGGGGCTACACTCAGGTCCAGTATGAGATAAATAAGGATTATTTTGCTCTCTGAATTTTGCAATACTAATGTGGATATATTTGTATATTTTATCTTTTTTGAATTGGGACTGCTCATATGTATATAGTGCCGCAGAACTGTGCACCTTACCGCCCCTCTCTTTTCCCACGTCTGCGCGTCTCATCGTACATGTGCATATTGACAATAAAAGGTATTCTATTCTATTCTATTCTATTCTATTCTATTCTATTCTATTCTAGTAAAGCTAAAAATGAGCTTAATGTCCACTTTAAACCCACTTTTTCTTTACTAAAATTTAATGTGCCCAGCAC